GGAGGGGGGTGGGGTGGGTGGGTGGTGTTGGGAGGGTGGGAGGGGTGCGTCAGGAGGGACCACCTGGGTACAGGAATTACCATTAATTTTAGAACAATTAATCATAGCCAAAAACAAATGAAATAAGTACTAGTAATTATGTAATAACAAATAAATAAGTTTCCTAAAAGCATTGTGCACAGGCTGAAGTTTCCTTAAAAAATATTGTGAATTTTTTTCCTCCTGGCGGCCTACTTAACGTGCTATAGCTGCCCCACCCCAAGTGGACCTGTCCAACACTGGTCAACCCATGTGCGTCCGTCCCTCGTGTTATACACAGTGCTGCGCCATTAGTGAAATATTTTTTTAAATAACTTTTTTATTTTCATAGTAACTTTGAACATTTTTGGCCAAGACTATGTCTGGTAGCAGCATCAATCGTTCTGGAGGTGTTAAGAGGAAGAAAGTTGTCCTAACAATTAAAGACAAGTCACTGTTATACACCTCAACCAGTGCGGCCTCACAGTGTTGTGCCATTAGTGAAATATTTTTTTAAATAACTTTCTTAATTTTCTTAGTAATTTTGAACATTTTTGGCCAAGAATATGTCTGGTAGCAGTATCAATCGTTCTGGAAGTGTTAAGAGGAAGAAGATTGTCCTAGCAATTAAAGACAAGTTACGTGTTGTTCAACCAGTGAGGCGTCACAGGCAGCCAAGCGCCTTCAACAAGTGAGGCGCCACAGGCAAGCCAAGCTCCTTCAACAAGTGAGGCATTACAGGCAAGCCAAGCGCTTTCAACAAGTGACGCGCCACAGGCAAGCCAAGCGCTTTCAACAAGTGACGCGCCACAGGCAAGCCAAGCGCTTTCAACAAGTGACGCGCCACAGGCAAGCCAAGCGCTTTCAACAAGTGAGGCGCAAGCAAGCGCCTTCAACAAGTGAGGGCATGCAACGCTTCAACAAGTGAGGTGCAAGCAAGCGCCTTCAACAAGTGAGGCCTCACAGGCAACCCAAATGCCCTCAACCAGTGAGGCTTCAGCAGCTGGCAGTCAAAACTAACTTAGCTTAATGAACTGTACAGTAATTTTAAGTGTTAATTTTAGTGTTGTGTTAGTATAGGTTACGTAAATTGTTAAGAATTTTTAACTTCAAGATGTGTGGCATCAATCAAGAAGACGAACACCAACAAGGTAAGTTGAGGTTTCCAGTTGAATATTTAATAATTGTATGTGGCAAGGCAATTCAAATTATGTTGTTTGTAGTATAAAAATAGTTGGAAATGGTCACTTTTGGACTCGTAGGTGAAAAAGTACCATTATCCGAAAAATGTGATAATCCGGCTGGGGGTCCTTCCCATCTAGTCCGGATGATCGAGTGGAGACAGTACTTATATATAACCTGTGTATAGAGTGTAATAACAGCAAAACTATTTGTTTATTACTGTATTTTATAAACACGATAATTGAATCACTAATATGCACTCTATACTTTTGTGTATAGCGATGATTCACCCCTTTTATTATGTAAATATATCACACTACTCACTAATGAATAATATTACTGCAAAAAAAATAAGAAAAAATCAATCAGATGCATTGAAATAATTAGGTGATAATATCTTTGTGGCAACTCTCATCTGTCAGCTAGGGTGACGCTGACCGGCTCTGACGACCGCTCTGTCAACGCCCACTTTCTGTGGGGAGCCCCTACGGCTCCCTGGAGGAGTTTTTTCCAGGAATTTTTCAAAGTCGATTCCTTTAATTCACTCCACACCTTGGCCCAGTTATAGATGGCTTCCTTGATTGTATAGTTCTTCAAATTCTGAAGGTTTTTTTAGCCCTGTTATCCACACCGAGTTCAATATCTTCCGGAAGAGGCAAAACCACCAAAACTTCGTTTAGCATTTTTTTGGTGTGCAACCTCTTCGTGGCACAGAATTAGACGACCTGATCCATAGGCTGAATGAGAGAGGTTGTGTTAGGAGGAAGTGCCATATACGTTATCTTGCCATCATGTGAGGTTAACGTGTCAATTCTGGGGTGGGCAGGCGCATTATCAAGCAACAGTAAAGCCCGAACTTCGCTTGGCCTTATTTTGAGTTTCTTAATTTGATAGGCACGAACTTCCCTGCAGAACACGTCATGAAACCAGGAAAGAAAGATCTGTGTAAATCATGCATTTTTTGAGTTATAATATTTCACTGGCAGTCTGTCCATGCAATGTTGCAAGGCTCTTGGTTTCTTAGATTTGCCAACAATTGCACACGTGATTCTGTCTGTGCCGTTGGCATTCGCACACATCATGGCTGAGAGCCTGTCCTTGCAAACCTTACGTCCTGGCACACAACCCTCACTCCTCATTGCTAGAGTTTTTTCTGGTAAACTCCTCCAGTACAACCCAGTTTCATCTGCATTATAAATTTGATACGAATATATATTATTTGCCACAATATATTCTCGTAATTTATGTTTAAATGGTTCTACACTGCTTTCATCTGCACTCAATTTTTCACCGACAATTTTCCTTTTCACAATACAGTATTGTGCCTATCCTTGAACCTTGCAACCCACCCTTCACTCGCTTCAAAATTCTTTATTCCAAGGCTTTCAGCAAATCTGCTTGCAGCATTTTGTATTTCTGGGCCGCGAATTGTCACGCCAGCTGTGCGGTGCTGAGCAAACCACTTGTACACAGCCTCATCCAACTGCACGTGCGTCGAAGTTTTTATAGTTTTCCTACCACAACCTCTGCTAGTGCTTGCAACTTCACTTTCACAGGTTGAAATGAATTGCATAAGTTTCTCTTTTTGTTTCCTTATATCAGAAACAGTACTAGTGCCTATATTAAATTCCTTGGCAACACTTGAGATCGACCGGCCATGTTCACAAAGTTGTATAACACGTAGCTTGTCCTTAAGTGTTAGGACAACCTTCTTCCTCTTACCACCTCCAGAACGATTCATGCTGCTACCAGACATAGTCTTGGCCAAAAATGTTCAAAGTTATTTAAAAAAATATTTCACTAATGGCGCGGCACTGTGGTGTAACACAAGGTGAGAGCACATGGCTTGACCAGGCCTGGACGGGTGCAGTCAGGGCAGGGAGGAGGCACGTTACGTAGGCCGCCAGGAGGAAAAAAAATATATATTTTTGAAGGAAACTTCAGCCTGTGCAAATTGTTTTTAGGAAACTTGTATGGAATTTTTTATTACATAATTACTAGTATTTCTTTTGATTTTGGCTATGATGAATTATTCTAAAATTGATAGTAATTACTGTACTGTAGTGTATAGGCCACTCCCCATCCTCCCCCTAATCCCCCCAGGTGGTCCCTCCCAACGCTCCCCTCTCTCCCGACACCACCCACCCACCCCACCCCCACCTACACCATGCGCCTCGAGTCTCGGGCAGACGGGATTAATACCGTATGGCTCGCCTCATGTTTTCATATACGGACAAAGGCACGATTATCCGGGCGACTGACCGGATAGTGTAATTTCTGCAGAAAATTAACCGGGCCACAACATTTTATCCGACTAAACCTGCTTTAATCCGGTCCCTGTGGCTATTTTGGCCGGATATTGTGATAACTTTATCCGATCGCGATTTTGGCCGTATAAGGGCGTTTTCCGGATGTTTGAATCCCAGATAATCGCGGGGTTACAGTACATAATTGCACTTATGGGGGCTGTTACATTTACTTCCCCATTTTTGGAGGACGGGCTGGAATAAATACATGGTGTGCATACATATCTGTATATACCGGTATGTATATTTTCAAAGTTATCCATAATGAACACCATCTTTGATACATAGATACAATGAACAAATCCACAAGGGCTGTGATGAGGGTTCGAACTTATGCCTATGATTATCCCAGATGCTGCCTTAGTCGACTAGACTACAACATGGTCAAAAGAATTGCAAATCCACAAGGGCTAATCAGGGCCCTCGTGGATTTGTTCACTTGATGCATCACGCTATTTCTATGTGCATAGATACAACTTGTTAAAATGAAAAACTAAATCAGTAAAGTGAGAAACATTGAAAATAAATCAGCAAAATTATTTCCAAGCAGCAACTCTCCTTATTTTTATCAAAAAAACACAACTTCTCCAGGCCGCTTGAGCTAAACTACAAGAGGTAGTGACTTTGTACTTGGATTTTTGTGCTTCCTGGGAGCTAATTAACAATACCAAAAGAAAAATATCTGCAAACATTGAGGTCATTTAAATAAATTAAAAATATTATTGGTTTTAGGACAGAACCCTGTGAAACACCACTTTCCACTCCTCTCCAGCCTGACATATGCTCTCTGACTATGACTCTTTGTTTCTTAGCTGTCAGGTACTCCCTTACCCAGGCCAGTGCCTTTCCTGTTATTCCTGTTTTCTCTTCAGCTTGTCTATTAGTCTTTTGTGAGAAACTGTACCAAAAGTTTTTTGACAGTCTAGTAAGATGCAATCTACCCATCCTTCATTCTCGTCTTATTTTGCTGACTGTCATAGAATTCACACAAGTTTGTTAAGGATGATTTTCCCTTTCTGAAGCCATGTTGTGCCTCTGTTTTAAAATTTACTCTCCCCAAATGTTTTACTATCTTTTTTCTGATGACTTTCTCTAGAATCTTGCATGGAATGCATGTTAGTGACACTGGTCTGTAGTTTAGTGCTTCATGTCTGTCACCTTTCCTTGAATATTGGAATTACATTTACCTTTTTCCAGATTCCTCATAGCTCCCTCATCTCTAGTGTAATGTTGAACACTATAGTTAATAGTAACTCAAGATCCCTGCAGCTTCATTCAGTAACCATGGTGATATCTGGTCTGATCTGCTTTTGTGTGGAATTAACTCTGTAGAGTTAATTCCCTCTACTACAGGGAGCCACTGAAAGAACCCATCAGAAAGTTGCATTTCATTACTTTCAACACTGCAGTTTTTTATCAAGTATCGTTATTTCAAATTTTGGAATACGTATTTGTGTTTCTGATAGATAAATAACCAAGTAATTTTCTTTGCAG